GCATCATGAAGAAGATTATACGCAGTAATTATTTGGTGCAAGCGTTATTTAATTTTGTTGAAATACCAAATGCAGTTTCAAACAGGCATACTGGTAGTCTCGAAACCCTACTCTAATACTTTGTATGCCAAAAATAGACATAGAATAGGGTAATGCTCAAATAGTTGCATGCAATGCCCAGGGCTACAGAATATCCAAAATCTCACACCTCATTTGTGTACATTCCATGACGATCCAGCCTAGTAATAAGGTGAAGAACGTCATCGACCAAATTTTAGGTCAAAGTTAGCTTTGGAGGACAAGGCTTAGAAAAATGCAATGGTCTCATAAGGGCCACTTATCTCCCGGGAATAAACATAATTATCAGTGGACTTCTTGTGAAATTTATCAAACAGAGACTGCCCATGCCATAAAATGTTTACAATGTGATGGAAGTCTTCTGCTGATTATGTCGTTTTAAGGCTAAACTAAGAGATCAGATAGTATATGTCGCAAAGGATGCTTAACTAGACTATAGAAATATGAAGTGGTCTGACCTCGTTATTGCAATTTGCTCGTGTTTAAGGACGACTTAGTTGGACTACCATTCCCGAAGTTCTCTGCTATAGTAGTTATCTTAATTAACAGCGTTGAACTGTGGATGTGGTATATTCATAGATGTTTTGCCGGTGCGAATTATGATAACAACTATAGCAGAGGACTTCGGACAACACCCATTCAACTAGGTTACCCTAACAACACGACCAAGTTGCAAAAATGAAGTCAGAGCACATCTATGCTTCGAAAAGAGACTGAGACCAAGATAGAGACCACGACATTTTGGCCCTGATAACTACATAGATGTATGAGTTTTCTGGTTATTACCATGAGAGATTGGAGCAAAGAAGCCAACTGGATTGCCAATAGATCGCCGACAAGAAGTTTCATCTACTCGTAGAGAGACCTCGTAAATATGGGTCTGTCTGATGAGTAAAATAGCCAAAGTTACCGAAGGAAAGGTTGATCTAGATTGCAATCTTGTAACTACCCATAAAATGGACATAGTGGTAAAATTGGCGATGAGGCTACACAAAAGTCATTTTGAAGCAATATAATACAAGCGGTATGAAATTTGGGATTATATTCATAATAAGTAAGTTTAGAGACAATCAGTACACTGACTAAATGCTGTAGTCATCCTTGGTCAAACAAGGCGATGAAGAACTGATAGCGTGATTAAAAATGTATGGAAAAGTTCAGCTACCAGTCCTACAGTTTAAATTTAAGCATGATTTTGTATATTGAAGCGGAAACCATTTGATGAAGTAAATAATATGACAAAAGAGACTTAGCTCCAAGCCCAATGTGATTGAAGAAGAGAAGGAAAGTGGCGCAAAGCAAGAATGATATAAAATATATGGTAAATTATATGCAAAGATACAGATAAGTATATTGGTATATAATGAAAGAGAGAAGGACAAAAGAAAGAATGCCACATTAAGACAGCGAAAATAGCAATAAATAGACAAAATTTACCGATTGAGACAAAATATGCCTGTTCCGCTCGGCTCGGCAAGCGTTTTTGTTCAGTCTCCCAGTTTCCTCAACAGCTATGGGCCTCACATGTCTGGATCGCAGGTTCGTCTGCACAGTTGTATTGGTGAGGCCATCGATATGTGTTGGGTCTAAGATGAAGGTTTGTTGATCTATATCCGTCTCAGAGTGTGGCTTATTTGCAGACCACCCATTTCTTCTTTCTACAGCAGGTTTAACCGAAGCATCTGCAAGCCCATTGTCAAGTCCGTGTTTAATGGGCGGACTAAGAGGTATGATGGGTCGAAGAGCGGTTCGACTGCCGTCCAAAGTTTGGGCCTTGGCAGGAGCATCATAGTAGGCAGAATCGGAAGAGATGACCAGCTGGTTATGCTCTGCCCGACCCTCGGGCACGTCTTTGTTGCAAACGGAGTAGGTCAATGAGTTGTCAATTTGTGACTGATTCTGCCGCCGTTCATCCTCACTATCCTGTTCGGACAGCGTATCTACGGGTAAGGAAAATTGATGCCCCAAAGAGGACAACATCAGAAGGGAGTCTCTTGGTGATACCAATTCACTAGACTGCTCTTGGCCATCTGTGGCTATTGATATGGGGCCTTCGGTCAATGAGCCGGTAACTGGAGAGGCAACACTAACCTGGCTCTGTGCCACACTTGCAGAAGCACGATCAAGTGAAGTCGCCGGTGCTGCCAGACTGAGCGAAGCCAGGCTAGAACATGTGGATTTCACAGAGAGTCGATGTCCGCGGTAACGCTGTGAAGTGAGTTCTCGGAGCCCAAGAACGAAGCGATCCTCAGACTCTACCCCGCCGGGCCCATTGGAACTTGTCGGGACGCCACCGATGTCCGCCATCAAGGAGTTATTGGGCCTCGTGAATTCCTCTCCTCTTGTCGTGTCGTCCAAAGCATTAGACATCACTTGAATTCCGGACAAATTGCCTCTGGACTCAGGCGAAGTAACGAGGCTAGGCACTGAAGCCAATTGATACATAGACGAGCCGCCTACAGAGGCGGTACCAGTGTGGCCATGACGGGATGAATGAAGACTCTGATGCAGCATAGTTGGATAATGGTGCCTGGAGTGGAAAGAGGCCGGCTCCTCCTCACCGACCGATAGGCCGGTCAATGTATCTGTCTCATTGGTAGCTCCGTTGTACTGCAGACTATAGTGGTGCAAGCGAGTGCTCGTGTGCTGGTAGGGGTGGCGACGCATCAACGATGCATGCCCATTCAGCGGTCCAGCGCTGCTTGTACCGACTACTGTTGTGGCAGATGCTGCTGCTGCTGCTGCTGCCGCCGCCGCCTTCTTTTGCGCACGAACTTGAAGCTCAAAAGTGCCACGAATAACGTCCAGCATGTTGCGAGAGTCGCGCAAACTGCTGGCCAGAGAGCTGAGTGAGATGTTGAGGGGTGTCAGGCCAAACGGCGGCGACAGACCGGACGGAGAAATGGCAGTCCGAAACGCATTGCCTGATTGTGCACCAGTCCCGCCAACTGGACGAAGTCGTGCCATTGTCGAGCCGGCACTGCTCACGCCCAGCAGCAGTGAAGAACCTGCCGAACGACCCAGATTTGCGTCCATAAATGTTATGCCAGGTCCAGTAGTCATGCCGCTGGCAGTGGTGTTGGCCTCTCGAGGCTTGCCTGGGAGGCCAGGCAAGTCAGCAGCAACACCTCCGGCGTCCGTGGTCAAAAAGGTGGCCGAACTTAGCCCCGTGTAGATCGGGAAGCTGGGCGGAGCGGCAAATGAAGACCGAGCGCTGGTAAATGGTGCTGCAGCCGATTGATTGTAGAAAGCTGAGGTTGCCCGTAGACCAGCCGATTCGGACCGACGTCGGCGTTCGAATCCGCCGGATGCAGCACTGGCATAGACCTGTGGCCGAAGATGGGCTGTAAAGTCAACCTCGAGTTCCGACTCGTTGTCAGGACCACCGGCGCTAGTGTTTTCTACATCGACCCCCACCGCCTGACTGGTTGAGGTGGTCAGCGAAGCCGGCTCTTCATATTCAACTTCCGGGTCTATCCGTGAATCGTAGTCAGGATCCAGATCGGGCAAGATAAGGGAGTGCTCCCGGCCAGCGATGGGGGAGCCTGGCGAAGCAGGAAGAGAGACGGGCGGAAGGCATCTGGAGCGGAGGCGACCAGATTCGTCCTCCTCTTCGCGTATGGGCGAGCAGACAAGTTCACGCTGTATGCCGACCCCGACGTTGGGGCCAGATGGTTTGGCTGCCTGTTGGCTGGACGAGCCAGCCGGGGCTCGAGAGAGTATGTGACTCGCCGTTTGGGACTTTATCTCATTGAGCATCGGAATCGAGGAAAGCGTCGGCGGACGAGTGGGGCTGGAGAGCACAGACGTAAACGCAAGGTCAAGCATCGCAGGAGCCGAGCTATGCCAAGCGCCAGAGATTGCAGGAGGGACAGGTTGGCCCTTTCTGCTCTCAGACGTAGCAAGGCTGGAGAGGCCAGAATTCCCGCAGTGGATTTTGATTGTGGCAGCTCTCTCAGGCCGTGCACCAGACAAAGTCTGAGCGGTAGTGGTAGAAGCGATCATGATTGGCGAACTGGTGAAGTCTGCGGCCACATCACCAGTGCACGGTGTGGATGTGGAGGGTGGAACGCGCAGTGTGGTATTCGCAGAAGATGACCAGCGTGCTGGGCGCCGAGAAGAGGCCAGAACCTGCCAATGGGAATCGACTAGGCCAGGCAAAAGGTCGTCATTGTACCTAAAATGATAGGTGAAAGATCGAAAGGAGAAAATAAGTTGTAAACAAGAGTCGTGCTAGCAGTTTAAATCATATAAAAGGACCTAATGTTCCCTACCCTAAAATGAACTTGTTCAGGTAGTGTATCGAACCTCTGTAAAGACCCGATTAAGGCCTAAACATCTATCAGGTGGGATGCATCTCGTTGAAAAATATCCACATAACTAGTATTAAACTTGGTAACAGATTTTAATTAGCGAGATTAAGGATGTGGAAAATTGGAGGAATTGGAGTAGGATGCTTAGGGGATAGATGCTAACTAAGTTGCCAGATTTCATCTAGGAAAAACGTAATAAAAAAACAATTTGGCGAGGTATGCCAGGCTATCCGTTGCAAAAGTCCTACTAAGCTTGATTTTTAACTTGATGGAAAGGCCAGCTATGCATTTTCGGAATGATAAGGAGGAAGTAGAACTTAAAAAATTAATAGCAGTAAATCACACTAGTTTGAAGGTTTGCTCTACTGGATTTTGTATTATTTCTAGACCTAATTTACCTCGTAAGACTAAGACTTATATTTTGGATATTAGACTTAGGAAAAAAATTTCAAAACTACATTCCTTAATTAGAACTAAGATGAGACGTGTCTGAGGCTGTTCCTTAAATTTCAGAGTATAGCGGATAGTTTACATGAAAAAGTTTTCCAACAGGTTAGAAAGACACATAATAAGAGTGAGCTGAAGAAAACGACCCACATCTAATGAATTGAAGACAGTTGCCAAAATCAGTAAATCTGTCCAAAACTTCATTTGAAAATTCAAGTAAGGAGGCCATAGCAAAGGGCCTAAACTTTGCCTTTTCAAATGGTAAGGACTTCTAAGAGAAAATTCTTTTAGAATTGATAAGTTTAAAAGATAGTTTCCCAGAGGATACTAGGAGTGACATTAAATTATAAGTTGTCCCGTTAATTAATGATCATGCAGAAATACCATACAAGAATAGGACAGTTTATGCTATTAAGGCAAACGAGCAATTGGTATTAAGGGCAGACAAAAGAGGAGCAGTAGTAGTTATAGGTAGGACTGTATATGTAGAGAAAATGTTAGAGGCATTAGAAGATGATAGAACATATAAAACTATAATTAGGGGCCCGACAAAAGGCCTCAAGGTCAGACTTAGGGGTCCTCTGCAGCAATATGTAAACTGATGAGAACTGTAAAAGTGGAAAATAAATACACTTCTCCATCAAGACGCAAGGCTCCCAAATGCGTAATGTCTGCCAAAATTCATAAGCAAGGTACTCCAATTATGATTAATGCGAATAGTAGAGGTAGCATGATGCATAAAACATCCCGATTTATATGTGCTCAGTTGAAGCAAAACTCCGAAACTTGGAAGTTTTCAGTAAAGAACTCTGATAACTTTATTAAGTTCCTTGATAATCAGACGATAAAAAGAGTAGATTTGCTCGTAAGTTTCGATGTATCGTCTATGAGCACTAACATTCCGAAAATGAAGCAATAAAGGCTCTAGAGTTAACTCTGGATCAAAAATATAAAATAACAACCAGCAAAATGTTAAGCAAGGATTTGATCATTAGATTAGCCAATTTGGCAATGTATAATACATATTTTAGCATCAGTGGTAGGTTGTATGAGCAGGCACAGGGCTTAGGTATTAAGCTATTAACTAGATGACCCAATTAGAAGTTCATGGGTTTCAAGAGGCACTCCTAGTTCGTTATATGAAGGATTACTTTGCTGTTTGGCAACATATAAAAGGTATAAGATGTATTCATCCAATTTCGTTTAAGGTGATGAAGGACTGGTAGTAGAATTTTCCCACAACTCAAACCATCGTTGGAAAATTCTACTACCACTCCTTCATCGCCTTAAACGAAATAGGGTGAATACATCTCTAGTTAACTGGCAGGCTCGATACTCTGCTTATATAGGAAAAATGATGAAGATAGTTTGAATGAATTCCTTGAGCCAATAAATAGAATAGATGAAAATATTAAGTTTATCATAGAATAAGTAAGGGAAAACAAATTGCCTTTTTTGGATGGTTTAGTTAGGTAGAGAAGTGTAAAGGAAACCCACACATTCGGCTTTCCTTATAAATTTCTTCTACAACTATACATATAGAGTCAAAAGATGAGTCATGAAGTCTATGATAATAAGGAGTCTATGCCTAGCAGATATAAATCATCGGGACCAGGATAATGGCAGATTGTGGCATAAAATACTTCAAAATAATTACCCATTAGGATTAGTAGACAATTACATATCAATTGTCATTAGCAATATGAGAGAAGTTTGTTATCTAGGGCGGGATATACAATTGGATCATTCTACTCGTTTCCTGATTTTGCCTTCCTGTCAGCTTGCGAAAAAATTGGGTGATC